ATTCTGATAACAGATACTTGATTTCAAAGGACCTGAAAGCAAATGAATTCAAGCATGGAAAAATGGGTGACATGAAAGAGGGAGTTCAATTGCTTCAAAACTTTCCTTTGAAACAACCTGCTAACAAGGTAGCTTTCTCAAGCGGACTCTATGGAACACTTCCATCAGGCTTCATCAAAAGAGGAATGGAGGACAACGCTAACCAGAGATGCTTTAAGCGCTGACCGCCATTTATGAGGCAGTGGCGCGTCCGAGAGAACTTCTTTCAAATGAATATTATATTCAGATTTAACCTCATTATAAACAGTTGTTGATATATTTCAGATAGGAACATTATTCTCTCAACAAGGGACGAGTACACACATACACACACACACACACACACACACACACACACACACACACACACACACACACACACACACACACACACACACACACACACACACACACACACACACACACACACACACACACACACACACATATATATATATATATATATATATATATATATATATATATATATATATATATATATATATATATATATATAATATATGTATGTATAAACCCCCACACACTTACACAGACACACAGACATTTCTTCATCTTTTTCTCGTTCCCTCGCTCTACATTTTCTTCATTTTCTTCTCTTTCTTAAATTCCTTTTATCCATCCTTCGCAAAAATGAATTAACTCGTATTTTTTCCTTCATTAGCATTTTTCTTCTCCGGCTCCTTACCAACCATCCCGGCGTGGAATAACATATCCGAAACTTTTTTTTTTTTTTTTTTTTTTTTTTGCCAATACTTTCCTTTGGCCTCTTCTAGCGAGTAAACACCTCCTGTAACGCAAGCGACTTTGATCTTTCTTGCTCTCTGATCTTTCGTTCTCTTTTTTTTCTTTTTATTCTTACCCCCTCCCCATCCCCTTAGCCGTCCTCTTCTTCCTCTTGCGTCTTATCCTTTCTCTTCCTTCTGTTTCTGGCTCGTTTGCCCTCTCCCTCTCTTTCTTCCCCCTGTCCCTCTCCTTCTTTCTCTTTTCTACTCTTATCATCCCTCTCTTCCTTCATCGCTTTCCTCCCCACCTGCCTTTCTT